ACTTTTATATTATCGCTGGAAGAGAAATTTTCGGGTCAAATCTACTTCGGTAAAGGGGTAAATTTATGGCGTGGATTTGCTACCTACCGTTCGTTATTCATGGTCGAAAATTCACCACTGAAACAGCAATAATATTTGTTTTCGCTTCAGTATCGAGCAGTTTTCGTTCGTTAATTGACTCGCTGTGTAATATGTTCTATTTGCAAACGTTTCGCTCTTGGTGCAATTCCTTTCTGTAACGCAAGTCTTAAATACAGGAATTGCACCGGCCCGATTGGTCGACTTCCAGCGGTGAAAAATGTAAACGCCGAACGCGATAATCTTTCTTCCTTCAGTCCAAAGCCTTTCATCTTCACTAACGAAGTTATTTTGCCCATAGCTCCCGTTCTGAACGCGCTTTCGACCCGGTGCTTTTCCTGCCTTTAACGCTTTCAATTATTAAATTCAGGAATTGCACCGGAAAGAATACTTAACTTCGGTGTCGATTACATGATTTAATTAATGAGATACCGCTGTTTAGAAACCTTGCACATTCAATCAAAATAACAAAGCAGGTAAGACTAAGACTGGAATGTCTTTAATTTAATTGTGTTATTAATTTAACATGTGGATGATATTCTCTCATTGTAATTTATTACAAGACTTCAAAGTTATGTCAATTGTGGTATCAGGATGAAAATGTTTAATTTAATTTCCTAAATGCTTCATGTTATACCATCTTATATGGGGTGCCGTACAGGACAATCTTGTGTGCCCAAAAAAAAAATGCAAAAGTTAAATATATATGGCATGGATCAAATAAATATATGAATAGAATATATGTGCAACATATATATGGCATGGACCAAGTCAATATATGGTACTGAATAAATAAATAGATGACATAGGACAAAAGTAAGAAAACTATATACGGCTATTGTGCCCATTGTCAATTTGGTCAGCAGAAGATTGATAAAAAGAACATGGCGGCCCGTGACAGGATTGATGATTTAGAGCAATTTTTCGAGAGCTCTATTCCACCCCTTTTTCGTCAAGCTCGTAGAAATCTTCACTCTGAAAACATCAATGTCTTGGAGTATTTTGAACGCCGATTAGATGATCATGCATACGTTGTTAGGTGTTTCATATTTGAGTGCGAAGTGCAAAGCACTGGCGAAAGTTTACTTGTGCCACTTTATCTCTTGTACGAAGAAATCATCGGCTTGATTTCTAAATATTTGTTGCATGCTTCGAGACTATACTTCTGAAAGTGGATTTTCTTTGAGAACGGCTAACTTCCTGAGTTCCTGCTCCAGAAACTGCTGTTTGAGTTGAAGTTTCAGAGTTTGAATTTGAACTATCGGAAGACCTAGCTTGCAAGGCTTCTTTGAATTGAGAATGATCAATAATCTGTCGAACAAGTAAGTCGACAATGGGAGTAGAGTTCGCCATAACAATTCAATTCCTCGATCAGATGCCAAGTTTTTCTGCTTTACAAAATAACGCCGCTGGCCAAAGCGATAACGGGCACAATAGCCGGAGATATTTATCTTACTTTTGTCCCATGTCATATATTTATTTATGCAGTACCATATATTGACTTGGTCCATGCCATAAATATGTTGCACATATATTCTATTCTTTGATCCATGCCATATATACGTAACTTTTGCATTTTATTTTTTGGGCACACAATATTGTCCTATATGGTACCCAATAATCTTACAGGGTTAGTGGAGATTCTAGGTGTTGTGGGTTTTAAATTTAATCAAAATTGTTCTCCAAGGAAAGTTTGAACCTATAAAGTGGATTCTGGAGGGAGTGGGGAGTGGTGGGCAAAAGGTACACACAGAAGAAAGGGTATTGGCACAACGCAAGTACAATGTGTAGACTAGGTTTGAAGATTTTAAAACTTTTCTTTACATTTTTATGAATTTTGTTACGGTTTTTGCACACTAAGAGTTATGGGTAAATGTACCAGTCACCATCTTATTTCCTATAGAGGATTGGAATCTCATCTCACCAGTGATGCCAGCCACAGCAGCCCTCGCACATTAGGGAGTTTAAGCAAATCACTACGGCTGGCGCTGCTACGGCTACCATGGTTGACGAGGCTTAGGGAGAGTACGTCGCCGTAGCCCAGCAAAATTCAACTTTAAGCAACGCGAACTACAAACCTAGTACGGCTGAGAAGTTTAAAACCAATAAGCGTCTTCGCGGTAGTTTTTGCACGTCTAAAAACTCAAAATGACTTCGTTCAAAGAGACGAGGGATTCCGACGTTTGGAAAAAAAATTGTAAGCGATCCTGTGNGCGTAGAAGGATTTCCCGCTACGGCTGGATGGGAACCACTGACATGCGCAATGACTCGTTTCTGGACAATTTTACTTCCGGTAGCCGTAGCAGCGCCAGCCGTAGTGATTTGCTTAACCTCCCTATTATCAGATTGGCGTATGAGGAAACTTTACAAGTCTCACATCTCGAGGCACTGTGCAGAATTTCCACTGTAGGTTTAGAAAGTCCAATGAAAATAAGTTACAAAATAATGTAACTTTAAATAATTGATTGGTCAATCATATTATGGGACTGATCACAGATGGTTGAAAAGTCAAAGCAAAAAATAAAAATGGCCCAAAAGTTTAGGAACACTTTAGAAACACTTATTGACTTATTGATCATGTTCCATGCATCAGGAGTGAAGAATTGTTTGAGTCTCATTCAGGTCAGAAGTTAATGCCTCTCCTGGTGGATGGTCCTAATCGAGCACCATGTCTTCCTTGGAGAACTTTTTACGAGTGGTGGTATATTGCTTTATTTTAGCTTCCACAATACCAAACCAGTGAAACATTTCATTCTGGTTATGATCTACATTAGATTGCAACAACAAAATTAGTTAAAAGTATATCTCATGTTTGTACAAACTTGCGTTAGGTCTGTATTTAATTTGAGTCTTGTTTATGGGCCGGGTGACCCATAGGGCCGGTGCTTCAATCCGGTGTCCGTACCATGAGGCAACTAGGAGTATTTCTACTCCCCCCTGGATGGAATGCTAGTCCATCCCAGGGTTACCCCCCAGCATTAAATTTGCTGCTACCCATTTATTCTCTTGATGAAATGGGTAGCAGCAAATTTAATGCCAGTACTGTGAGAATAAAGTACCTTGTCCAAGAACACAACAGTGTCCCCGGCCAGGGCTCAGACCTGGACCACTTGATTCAGCGTCAAGTGCACAAACCATGAGACCCCGCGCCTCCCACCTGGAAAAATGTTCAGTAGTAATATACCTACCTGCTTCATGAAAATCATGGCAAAGGCTATATGAATGCAAATTCACTGCAATGACTGCGAAGAGGTGTGCAAATCTTGATTAAATTAATACTCTGTTGTTTCAGTTTGAGCAGCTTGACGCCTTTGTATAAAGTTGCACACCTCATTCTTGAAAGCTTTAAATATTCTGCATGCCACCATTACAATAGTACCTGAATCATCTTGTAAAATCCATACACCACAGCATTTATAAAAAAATGTTTAATCTAGGACTAAAAGTAATACATAATCTTTATATTCAACAGGAACATTTTCCAAGTGACGTCTGAAGATGTAATATTCCTTACCTCTCCCTACACCTTTGATCCTTTCATTGTTCAGATGTTCACAGTATTTGCAGCTAGAGCCAGACTTGTAATTGTGCCAGACAGTGTTAAAATGGTGCCATCTAAGCTTTGAAGAAAGGGTAACCATTTTACAGGAAAGAGTTTTTTGAGATACAAGACCCTGAAAACCATACACAAGTTGGTGCTACCAATAATGTATTATAAGAAAAGGATGGAATTGACCCTCCCACTTTCCTTGAACCAGATACTCAATACTGACAAGCAATTTCCTCAGCAAACATTAACTATGGGAAAGTTCACATACAAACTGAAATTTGTTCCTGAAAAGTTGTCAGAAAATCACCTGGAGTGAATGATTGCACAGATGACCTATACAACAAACTGGTACAGCATATTAAGTTCTTTTGCAAAGCAACTAAGATTTATTTCTATATCTTAAACAGCCCACTCCATCCTTGATGTATCACATTGGTCAAGAACTAATTCAGTCAAAGATTCTCAGTAAAGATTCATCTCTGAGAGTGCTGGCATTTGGTGGGGAAACCTGCCCCACCCTCTCCACCCTCGGGAAATGGAGGTCTCTTCAGAGTAAAACCTCAATCTACAATCTTTATGGCATCACAGAGGTTTCCTGCTGGGCATCTTGTCATAAAATTACTGATTGCAAATTGGAGAATGGAAGTGGTGATCTTTGTGAAAATGTAACATTTCGACACAGAGATCTGGAGAACTACTCAGCCAAGGAAGTTAATGATTC